TTAGGTTTCGATCAAGACTGATTTTTATTTATTTTATTTTAACTTACAAGCTTACTCTTATACAAAGCTTATTCTATCTACATAAAAGCTTAAACTCTACAGCCCTCCTCCTAAGATTATAACTATAATAATTAAACACGATATACATAAATAAAAAAAATATAAAATATAAATGTAAAGCATAATTGAAATTCATTTTAATTCACTTTAAAATTATATAATTATAATTATGAAATATTCAACAACAAATTATTACTCCGTATAAATTAAATTATATTCATGAATTATTCCTTATAATTAATCTTAGTTTTACGTTCTCGCAGACGCGAGCAACCACTACCTACATTTACATCCTCAGTCGCATACCCTTCCGTAGTAGCGACGGCTGACTCTACATTTGGACTTGATTCTTCAGCAGCACCGTTCAACTCATTCGTAGTTAAGTCATTTTTTATAGCACTACCACTATAAGCCATCATTTGGTCGACGTGGCGCTTAATCACCCTATTAGTTCTTGATATTGTGCAACCATATGTTCGTCGACCTAAACGCTCCTTAATTACCGCTTCCTGCCATCCTACCTTATTTGGGTCTGAAAAATCTCGGATAAAGACCGGTGTGCCTTCCGTAAAAATAATATCTCTAGAACCCCCATGGTTTTGAATGTTACTAAGTTGTTTTTCTCTCACTCTGTCTTTCACTAAAGGTGGTTTTAATAAATCGAACCGCGTTTTCATTTCTCTACCTAACATAAGTTTAGCTGGAGACTCTCTTGTTGTACAATGCTTCATAGTACGATAATCAAATAGAAATCTCTTAAGCACTATGTCTAAACTTCCTTTTTCACCAGAGCTTAAACTTGCTTCAAGAGATTTTTTAAAAGTTTTAACAAAATTTTCGGCTTGCCCATTTGTAGCTGGAAACCCTGGAGGTGTAAGAATCTGTTTGATGCCATTATCCTTTAAAAATTGTTGGAATTCCCATGCTGTAAATTGGGTTCCATTATCACTTACTATGGCATCCACTAAACCATACCTACAAAATAGCTCTTCTAATTTCTCCACCGTGAATGCCGCTGTTATCTGCTTTGTTTTAAAAATTTCTACCCATTTGGAGTATGCATCAACTACGACTAAAAAGTAAACATTCTTGACTGGCCCGGCAAAATCAATGTGAATGCGCGACCATACTGAGCTAGGCATTTCCCACGGAATTAGTGGGCTTTTCTTTGGACTAGGCTGAACCTTTTTACATGGAATACATCTATCTATAAGATTTACTATATCCTTATCTATATTAGGCCACCAAACATACGACCTAGCCAAAGCTTTTGTCTTTACAATGCCTAAATGAGATGCATGTAACTCTTTTAAAACACGGTTTTTCAAAGTATAAGGTATTACACTTCTAAAACCCCATAATATACATCCGCACTCAATCGAAAGCTCTAAATTTTTAGTTTGAAAAGGCGAAAATATTTTGTCTTTTAACAAATGTAACTTCCCAGTTTCAATAGCGGCTTTTACTTTCGCTAAACAGGGGTCGCGAGCAGTCTCTTTTGCAATTACCTTAAAATCTAAATTTAGCTCATTATTTTTGGTTATAAAATTTATATAACTATTTTCCTCTGTATCTACAGAAGGAAGCAAATCTTGAGGTATACGCGAAATATTGTCTGTAAAATTTTCTGACCCCTTGACATACTCGATGGTATAATCAAATCCAGACAATGTCAAAGCCCATCGCTGAATACGAGCTGCTGCCATTACTGGTAGTCCCTTATTTTCACCAAAAATTGACAAAAGCGGCTTATGATCAGTTTGCAAAACAAACTTATTACCAAGCAGATAGAGTCGCAGTTTAGTTACTGCAAACACTATGGCTAGTGCTTCCTTTTGAATAGCACTATAATTTCGTTCAGCTGTCGAAAGCGCTCGAGATACGAAAGCGATCGGTTTAATTGTTCCATTAGGAAAACTGTGGGACAAGGTCCCGGCTATAGCGACATTTGACGCATCCGTTTGTAAAATAATAGGTTTACTGGGGTCAAAAGAAGCTAGGAATCTATCGGATGTAATTTCCTTTTTAAGATTTTCATAGGCATAATGACATGATTTTGTCCACCTGAATTTAACACCCTTTCTTAACAATGCATATAACGGCTCCATAATCTCAGCAAACTTAGGAATAAATTTGGAATAGTAATTAACTAATCCAATAAATGCACGAACTTCAGATAAATTGTTCGGTATTGGAGCATTAACGACTGCTGAAATCCTATCTTGGTTTTTTTACAAACCATTTTTATCAATATCAAAACCTAAATAGGAAATTGTTTTTTGAAAGAAAACACACTTATTAGCGTTTAAAGGCAAACCCACGCTCTCTAATCTTTTCAAAACTTTTTCAATGGAGTTACTATGCTCTTCAATAGTATCTCCTGATATAAGAATATCGTCCAGGTAATTAACAACATTAGGTATACCACGCAATGCGTTTTCTATAGTTTTCTGAAAAATGGCTGCGGCAGGCTTAACACCAAATGGTAATCTGGTTATCTTAAAAATACCTAAATGTGTGCTCCATGCGCATAACCGTTGGGATTCTTCTACCAATTCAAGCTGATTGTACGCATTTGACAAATCAAGTTTGGTGAAGAACTGTCCTTTAAGGGAAGCAAATAGTTCTTCAATCCTAGGTAACGGATACCTCACATCTAGCAGGTGCTTATTGATGGTCGACTTATAGTCGCCACAAATACGTAATTCACCATTAGACTTTAACACTGGTACTAACGGCGTACCCCAATCTGAATCCTCTATTAATTTTAAAACACCCTTTTTTACCAAATCCTGAATCTGTCTTTCGATTTCTTTACGCCAAGCCAATGGCACTGGCCTGGGCTTGCAAAAAACAGGTTTTGCATCCTCTTTAAGACTAAGTTTAACCTTATGCACCTTATACGTTCCTAACCCTTCAGCAAAAACTGTAGAAAATCTACTTTTTAGAAACGCTACTCTATCATCTAACTGACTCAGTGTGCTTATTTCCATCCCAAAAAGTGACATAAAATCCCTACCAAAAACAGGGCGGCTAAGCGTATCACTAACCACAATTCGCAACTTGTGCGACTGTCCACGACACTTAATTGAAGCACTAAACTCACCCAAAATCCCCACAATATCACCACTGTATGTGACAAACTGATCGTTGCATTTCTTTAGCTTGATTCTCCCAAAATGTTTATGGAAATCGCCTTTCGAAAGTAATGAACAAGCTGCTCCAGAATCTAGCACAAATGCGAGCTTAACACCGTTCACTTCTACATCAATGACGAAAGGAGGTGGTGACTTTGGATGACACTTATCATCTACACTAAAAATTGAAAAATTATTAGTATCAGAATTATTTACTAAATTAGAAAAATTTTTGCATTCATTATTATTTACAATACTTATTGTTTTCTTTTTTAAACAAATATTGGCCAAATGGCCCACACGTCCACAATTATTGCATTTGCAATTTTTAAATTTGCAGCTACTACTTTCATGGTTTCTCCAACCACAGTGTTTACAGCTCTGCCGTTGCTTTTTACTGCCGCTGCCGCTGCTGCTGCCGCTGTTTGCATTTTTGTTATGCATGCAAGCTTTATTCGTACTCGCACTGTTTGCGCCTTTGAAATGCAAATTTCTTTTAAAAAAGGGCATTAACCTCTACATCATGGGTTTGTTGCTGTTTGAAAGCTTCATTTTTTGCTTCCGTAATTATTGCAATTTTTAATGCCCGTTCAATTGTCAAGGTCTCATCTTCTTCACACAATCTTTCGAATGTTCTACCGTCTAAAGCAGTAACGAATTTATTTAGAACAAACGAATTTAATTGTGCCCCAAATTTACAATTTCTTGCTAATTTTTTTAAAAGTGCAAACCACTCCATAATTGTTTGCCCTTTTTCACGAACAGCATCAAAAAATATTTTTCGCTCGCGAAAAATAATAATCGGCTTTGAAAAGTGACTTCCCAAAAGCGTACACAATTTATCATACGTTTGGGTTGCAGGCAGATCCGGATCACAGATGTCCCGCAGCAGTCCATAAGCCTCCATTCCAATGTTTTTTAACAGGATCGACCGCTTGATCTTGTCGTCCTGACAAGCCATTTCAACAAAATGGGAGTCTAGGATCTCCACCCAGTCGCACCAACTGTCCACTTGCGGTCTGAACTCCCGCACACCTGACATGGTCGTACTTGTGAAGCATACACTTTCATTTTGTGTCATTTTTTTCAAAAACAAAAATTTTCTTTTTTAAATAATTTTTTTGTATAATTTATTTTGCACGAGTCAAACTGCTTTTCATATAATTTTATATGATGATTTAAAAATTTTTTTTCTTTTTTTTTTTAAAAAAATTTAATTAAAATTTAATTTTAATTTAAATAATTTTTAACGATAAATTAATTTTTTTTTTTGAATAATTTTTTTAACAATATTTTCCTCGTCGCCAATGTAATGTTTACGATTAGGTTTCGATCAAGACTGATTTTTATTTATTTTATTTTAACTTACAAGCTTACTCTTATACAAAGCTTATTCTATCTACATAAAAGCTTAAACTCTACAATAATAATATAAGATTTCTTTTTCTGTAGAAATATTAAATTGGCTTTGTATCTCTTTTAGTATCTATAATTTTTTTATCATTGGAGGAATTATTTTCTTGGAATAAGGTTATTGAGGTGGTCTTTCTTTTACGCGTATTTTGGTTCACCGGAATATATCTGGTCCCAAACATAGTCAACTTTTTGATTTTTTGAATAGCTCAAAAATTATAACAAATAAAACCTACAAATTTGGTATTTGGAATATTTGTGCTAAATCACTAAGGTTCAAGTTCCATATATTTATTTAAAAAAAGTCCTACTAAGCACGGTTTTTGAAATAAAAAACGTACCGCTTCCAGAATTCAGGATAAGTTTTGCTTGATAGGTTCTTTAGTGGCAGTGATTTTCAGAAGCTTAAGTATGGTAAAGTATTCTATTTTGAATATTTAACAGTGTAGTGTCTTTTTTAAATATATCTACTATACGTTTATTTATACTGATAAATATATAATATGTAATTTTTATTTAGTTATTTAAATAGTTGAAAATAGTTATAATATTGGACTCATTGAGTTTAAGATCAGGAACTTATAAACAAATAGATTACCTTTACTTTATAAACTTTTTTTTGTTAATTTATTGTAAGTTAATTAAATTTATAGAAGTACATATATTAGTAGGAGAATATTTCACAAATTGGTTATAAATATTTCTAACGTTGGTTAAATATTATTTTTAACGGAATTCTTTGTGTTTCTTTCAGTACCCATCTGTACATAGAGTAAGTAGTTTATGTTATTTCTGTAGTGTGAATCTAACGCATTTTTCATAAACATTTATCATTTTGCATCCAATACATCAGCAACATATCAATAATTAATAAACTACACATATTTATTATCAACTTCATCATATTTTTTAAAAATTCTAAGTTCATCAAAGAGGATACATTCATCCAATAATATCATGGTCAGTAATATACATATCTATACATCATACATAATATTCATTAAAAAGTATATTTACATTCAAACTACATGTATGTAATACAAAGATATATCATAAATTATAAATATGTAAGTATATACAATATATATAATATATATATATAATATACATATATTATATGTATATATTATGTTTATATATGTATAATATATATATATATACATATATATATGTTTATATATATGTAAGCAGAATAAAATGGCAGCATATATAAATATATATATAATTTATGATATATCTGTGTATTAGGTATATGCACATTGATCATATATTTCATACAAAAATAAGTTAATTTAAAAACAAAGGCAAAGAAATGAATTTACTTCAAAGAAACAATAAATCTATTAGGTATATAAAACGAGTTACCCAATCTACTCATCGATTCCAAAACGTATATTTTCTGGAACCCGCATTGTTACATCGCCAATTCGTGTTGTAAGCTCACCAGCTCGCGTTACAACGACACGCATTGTTCGTTCTCCATCACCAGTGCGTATTGTTCGGACTACAACTCGAGTGATCTCTTCTCCGGAGCGTACCACCACCTATAGTTATACATCACCAACAACTCTTTATAGCCCAACATATGTACCATCAACTTATTACAGTTATTATACACCATCTTCCTATACGTACACTACACCATCCTATGTATACCAACCCATTTCACGTGTGTATACACGCTCACTTAGTCCAGTAAGGATAACAACTTCACCTGTACGTGTCACTCCTTCCTACCTAAAGAGAATCCCAACAGGATACGGTGCTCGTGCTCTAACTAATTACCTCAACACCGAACCCTACACTGTGAGTTTTTGTTAATTGTTTACACTTAAAATCAAAATATTACAAGCTATTATTGTGATTTATACAACAGAGAAGTTATTCAGATAGAGTTGATTAAATATAATTATTTGGTTGTAATCAATTTTATTAGACCTTCCAAGATGAGACTAGAAGAATTCGTCATAGAGCACAATCTTTGATTCGCGATGTGCACACTCCAGTTATTCGTAGAGCACGCAGCGCCACACCCTTCCCAGTGATAGGGTAAATATATATTAAAGACCTTGAACAGTGCTGATTCTATAACATATTGTTTTTTGTTATTATTTCGTTCTAATATTATTAAAGATACAACTATGAACCAACCTCACAGTTGGCTCTTGATGCATATGTTGCCAGAGTAACAAACCCAGTGCGTCATGTCGCTAAGGAAGTACATAACATTATACAATATCCTGAATCACCACGTAAATATGTAGGTAAGTCAATGTGAAGGTCTTTTTTAGAAGTGATTATCACGAAACCTAAAATAGATTAAAGAGACATTGGGCAAAAAATTGTACAAGACATTTTTTTTGCTCAATGTTTAAAATAAATTGAATTGTTTAAAATAAATATATAAAGGCAAAAGCCATCTAGCATCTGTAAGGATTTGCGGCGATAAGGCCTATAATATTAGGAAACCAATGTATCAAACTGATTCGGAAAAGATCAGAACTGATATTGGTCTTATGTCCTGGTATTTAAGACATCCAAGAGGAATCAAAGAAAAACATGTCGATGAAAACATTTCATTGAACAAAGGTAAGTCTAGCAGATTTCTTTTGTTTATCCATTTGATTGCTTCTAACATTTGTAAATATGTTTATTTAATTCATTGAAAACGAAAATAGATCAAAAATTTGGCAATTAAGTCCTATACTCTTTTAAATATATTTATTTTTTAAAGTTGAAAAACAAAAAATTTGTGAATCATTATTCAATTTTTTGACAATATCAAATGAAATCAAATGAAATGAAGGACTGTAAGGAAAGATAGTGTTTAGATGTAGTACTTAACCATTATCTAGGACATTTATCATTAATAAAGATATAACTAAGTTCTTTTAAACATTAAGTTTAATGGACCTAAATATAATTAAGAAGAATTAGATGTTAATTAATTTTATTCAAAGAGAATGATCTAGAGCAGATATGTTTTATTTAAAAATTAAATACATGTATTTGAGAAAGGGATTTGATGTGATTATAGTAGATTAATTATTAAAAACTTAAAAACTTATATGACATATCTTTTAATAACAAAAATGATGTTCTTAGAAATAATCTTGTAAGAAGCATAATATTATATATGCTTTCTATTAAATTATTAGACAAAATTTGTCTTATTTAGTATTTAATAATTAAATATGCAATTAAACTGTTAATAATAAAAAAAATGAGGTGTTAAGTAGATTTTTAAAAAAATTGAATGTCATATCATTTTATCACTTTTCTTTACATGACATTTACGTTCGGGCTTAGTATCGGCAAGAAAAAATTGCCTGATCATTCGATTTATAATCTTTGATTTATTGAAGTTAATATTTATATAAAGAAAAAAAAAATATAACAAGCTATTATTTGAATAATTCATTTAGAAGATATATTGTAAGTTTTCAGGAGTGAAGTTTTTGTATTGCGTTGAGTTTCTTTAATATTGGCTACTTTAGAAATAAAGAGGGTAGCGTCTCCTAATGGGGCGGAGCACTACGACCATAGTTGATCTTTTGTGCTGATAGGCTACTTTAGTAACCATTGAAAAAATTAAACAGAATAAAATAAAATAGAAAATTGTTGGTTATGTTCTTAATGGACATAGTTTCGTAAAACTACGAAACTATATCTTCTAACTTTTAAAAAGGACCATCCTGCATAATTTAGAAATTGTAGAAGACGACTTCAGAAATTCGACTTCAGGAATCCATTATTGCTGAAGAATCTGTCTCTATTAGGTCTATTGTACTTGTATTAAATTGAAATCACCTCAAACGTGAGATATTCTTTACTGCTCTACTAAAATCCCATAATTCTGTTATTTCCTATTCTATTCTACATTGAACTTCAAGTTCAAAGCAAAAAAAATTAGTACAATAGAATGCTTTTTGTCGTTGTTAAATTTTAAATTTTATGTTTAAAAAGTAAATCCATTCAATAATTAATTGAAATAGTTAAATCAAAAAATTAAACATGGAGCAGAAATCTATAAAACACCTTTGAAAAATCATCACTAACAACTTAGTTCGTCAAATGATAGATAATAGGCTTCAGTAGTTTACGTAGACGTACCCCACTAGACATTTAAGATTAAATCCAAAGAACTTGCATACCAATTCCGTTCCAACTGCTAAATATTCTCATTTTTAAGTTTTGTTAAATTGTACATATACATGGTTTAAGGGTCAGTTAATCGGTACATACCGTAAAAACTTAAGCGAACTTTAGCCAAACCGAAATATACTACTAACCGTACCTGTGTATTTTGCTTTGACTTAAATTCTTACGGTACGTACCGACTAACTAAGCCTTACTATTGTCATTTCTACGAATATGTAAATCGATTGCAATATACATTAAAATTAAAAAAGAATGAATTGTTAGTTAAAGGATTTGGATATTATAGAATTATAAATCCAATTCTGCAAGTGATGAAACTATGAATTTTGTAGTAAGACAGTATTTAGCATGTATTCGTTATAACTTTCGGTTAATCATTATAATAAATTGGGATAATTATATTTATTACTAAGTTACCAGATTCTTACGGAAACTGTCTCGGAGTATTATTTGTTAGAATTATAGATGAAAAGAATATTTTGATTGAATGCATAGGTAATCTATTTGAGTATATGTCTTACTATAATTTTTGAAAGTAATCATATATATATTAAAATCGTAAATGCAGAATAGTTTGACAATATTTTAGTATATAAATAATATCAAAAGTAAGAAAGAAAATATTGTATGTAAGAATCATCTATCGTTATAATCGAGGTAAAGAATCATTTAGGTATGCTCTTTCCAAGGGCGGTGCTATTTCTCTCTAAAAATGAAGTACATTAAATGAAAGGAAGTAATCATGTATACACTAAAATGGTTCTAAAAATGATAAAAGAAGAATAGTTTGACAATATTCTAATATATAAATATTAAGTTTCAAAAGTAAGAAAAAAAATATTTATACGTGTGTTAGAATTATTTATCATTATAATTTATAATCGAGGTAAAGAAACATTTAGGTAGGTATGCTCTTTCCGAGGGCGGTGACATTGTGTGTTCTTGCTCTCTTAAAATAAATTACTTTAAAGGAAAGGCAATAATTTACTTATAATTTTTTTTGTAGATCTTCTTTGTAGATTGCGATGTCTATTTTTTAAGAGGAATTGCCAAATGATATATTTATATAGTTTTCTACATTAATAACCTTATATGCATATTTACCATGATTCTCGATTGATTTATTGCATTTAATTTATGTTAATTAACGAACATAAAGAAATTGAAAAACATCTGTGACTAACAATGAAAATCGCAAGATTTGCTCAAATGCCTTTTATTTAGTTACTAACTTATGTGTTTTTTCTCTCTTTGATTCTTAATTGATTCTTTGCAGTTGAAGCTGTTCAAGTTGAGGCCTAAATGATTATGTGCCTGCTTAAATTTAGATGGATCTATCATTTGTATTATGCATATAATGCAATGAAAAGACTTTATTCAGATTGCAAAACAACTCAAATTGAATTAAGAACTTAACAAATTTTTTTACAATTAACGGTCAAAACAACGCAGACACACCCACACAAAACCTCAAACATTCATTTTAATTAAAATGAATATATTTAAATAATAATTTTTGAACATCTCATAGAACAAATTAATAATAAATTAAAATATACAAACGAAACGACAATTCATGAGCTTACTTATTTCGTATATAAATTATTTTTGGAATATACAAAATTTTTTAAATTTTGCCTCTCATATTTGTGGATTTGTTTAAACAAACAAAACCGAACTCATCCAAAACAGTTGAAATATACAAAATATTATAAATAAATAAATAAATAAAAAATATTTTTATTTATATATCAAATTTTTGGCAAATTATACATTTATGTATTTATTTTAATATATATTTACAATCAATTAAATTAATTAAAAAAATTAATCAAAAAAAATATTGAAAAATGGATTTTTAATTTCTGTCAGGGCGAATAAATAAAAATATTGACATTTCTGATTATGGGAAATATTAGATTTCATTATACCAAATAATTTTGATTCAAACTGCATAACTTCTGTTCTTAAAGAGGACTTTCCCTTAATCAAAACATATATATAATTAGTTAATCAGTTAATCAGTTGATCATTTAATTAGTTAATCACTGCTGTCATCGCAATTGCTGCGTGGCCTTGACCTATTTATTTCGCACGCGCAATATTGCGACGTCATTTTTGTGCCATTGGCATATTTTGTCGGGAAGGATATTAATTAAATGTAGCCATAAACATTTCAAGAGAGATTTCAATAAATGAAATTTATTTCAATCATTAACATTTGTAAGCACATCGAAGAAGGCCTGATATTTCGCCATCCGGCAAATGAAACATTTGAATAGCTTTACGCTTTGCGCAAATGCTATTGTTTATATCGACAATAAAAATTAAAATAAATTGAATTAAATTAAATTTACAAACAGAATTTTTACAGTATTTTACATAAAATAAATTGCAAATAAGAAAAAGCGAACTGCAAAATATATAAAGACAAGCAAATACATTAGATTGTTCAAAATATCAAAAATTTTAAGACCACCATTTCGAAATGATCAAATTAAATATATCTATTTAAAAATTTTAATTTAATATTATTTTTTATTTATTTATTTAACTATGATTTTGTCTCTGTTGCGAAAATTATTACCTTTTAAAGAAAATTTAATTTTAAATAAATTTTAGACTCCTTGATAATAATTTAACTTTATTGAATGTGTTATTATAACCTTTATAAGCCTTTATAAAATTTCTCAATACATATAAAGCTTAATTAAAATATTCAACTATATATATATATATAAAAAGTTAGCAAAAAAATGCTCCAAGCTGGTAATTACTACAGATAATACTTGAATATAAAGTACAAACTTTCTCAGAATAGGAAAGAGATAGGAAATTGCTAATAGATACTTAAGAATCCTATATCCTTTTTAATAAGATAATGTATACAGTCAAACTTCCACAACTCGAAGTAACATTTTGCAAAGAGAAGGTTCGACTTATGGAGACTTTCGAGTTAAAGAACTTTTTTGTATTTGTATGTAATTTGCTCTATAAACTCTGTTGCACTCTATTTAGTTCCAGTTACAGAAAATTCGAGTTAAAGAATTTCCAGTTATTTGAAGTTTAACTGTAATATAATTAGGGACATCCTTAATATATTCAAAATCATTTCCCAAGATCAGAAGAGCATAAGTGGAAAACTAGTTAATATTGTTAAACTACAATTTAACGAGAACAGAAATGTTTCTCGGTAAGTCTAGGATTAAAGTGGTAAAACGGTTAAATTATTAATAGATTCAATTAATAATAATATTTAAAATAAAAATTTAATATTATTTGTTATTAAATATATATTTTATATATTTTTTAATAAGTCCTATATATTTAGAACTATCAACATTTTTTATCTCAATAGGATTTCCTTCTTTTGCACTTTGAATTATATTAACCTTGCAAGACCTGACACTAAATAGCATTTTAGGCTTTGTCAAAGGTTCTAGGTGGTTTAAAACCCTGAGTTTTTCTTACATATACGGTAACACAATGGGTGTATAGGCCTAAGTGAATTCACCAGGGATCGCCTAACCTAACATAATTCTCGTAAATAATTTTTTTGAGACTGCAAATACCAAAGTTTAAACCCTTACACTGCCAAATGTGAAGCTTAAAGTCATTTGGTAATATTCGAAACAGCTATACATTGTGACCGAAAAGTTTCCGGAATTTTAAATAAAACGCAAAATTCTTAATCTTCATCAATATTTATTTTATCTCCTTCAAAATATGCTCCATTAGAAGCGATACACAAATGCCAACGTTTCTTCCAATCATCAAAACATTTTTTATAGGCGCTTTCCGGTATGGCTTTGAGTTTCCTCTGCGAATTCTGTTTTACGTCTTCTATGGATTCAAAACGCGTTCCTCTGAGTGGTAATTTGAGTTTGGGAAACAGGAAAAAGTCACACGGTGCAAGATCAGGTGAATACGGGGGCTGTTCGATGGTATTTATTGAATGTTTGGCCTTAAAATCGTTGATAATGTTGGCTCGGTGCGAGGGAGCATTATCGTCATGAAAAATCCATGAATTATCCTTCCACAATTGAGGCCGTTTACGGCGGATATTTTCACGCAAACGTCTTAAAACAGTCAAATAATAGGCTTTATTGACTGTTTGTCCTTCAGGGACGAATTCATGATGCACCACACCACGAATATCGAAGAAAACAATCAGCATTGCCTTGATATTTCGAGCGACTTTTGGCGTGGTTTTTTCGACGGTCGTACGACCGTCCTGAAAGGCTTTGTACAACTCATAAACTTGAGTTTTCGATAAAACTGATTCCCCATAAGCCTTTTGTAGCATTCGCAACGATTCTGCACACGAAATTTCGTTCGAAACACAAAATTGGATGCAAACTCTTTGTTCAATATTTTTTTCCATTGTTTTTTTCGCAACGCACTACTGAGGTGAACTGGTTTCAACAGCTGCCGTAAACGAACTGTCTGACAGATCGCGCTCATTTTTGGCATAGTAATTAAGGATAGTGCTGCCAAACTACATAAACTTAAAATATCGAAAAATATACAGCGCGCGAATTTTAAATGAGAATTTCCGAAAACTTTTCGGTCACAATGTA